AAAAACTTGTATTTTTAGGTAAATCAATTTTTTGATTGCAAGTAGGGAAAATTTCAAATCTTTATACCTATTAATTTTTGATTTAAAAACAAAATCAACTTTAACGACCACTGATTTTACGAATTCTTTTTGTTCTWTRATAATTTTTTTTGTTTTTCCCAATTCGTCAAAAGTATTACTTGAAATTTTAAGCTTTTGACACCCAAATAGCATCAACTATAGTTGTGATGATCTATTCATAAATCCGATTTGCTACCAAAAACGGTAAAACAACCCTAAAAGTTTAAAATAGGAGCATATTTACTGTTCTAAAAGGTGATGACAGATACAATATTTATAAAAATCACTCATTATACTGTAAAATCAATAAATTAATTGCTTCRCTCAGAGATTAAAATATAATTTTAACTATACTAACTATACTTTAGTATTTTATCTTTGGTGTGTAATTACTTGAACTTGGGAAATCGACGGATGAGACTCCAAAAAGTATTCTATCTCTTTAGGAAAAAGGTTTTCACCACCACGGATAATCATTTCTTTTAATCTGCCAACGTGATTGCCATATCCGTCTTCATATAAAACGAATTGGTCTCTATAAATAATAAAGCCGTCAACAATATTATAAACATTGTAGTATCATATCACATACTGAGCCTCACATAGATAATATACAATTCCCTTAAATGCATATTATATACAGATTAATTCTTTTATCGATAGCAACTGCAGGGAATGCCGTAAGAATCGACACAACAAAAGACAAGACAAATCTGATTATTAAACGAAGAGGTATTATATAAAATTTATATTATAAATGATATATTATAAACTACAACATTACTGTCTAAGAGACGTGTGGTTTTATATTAGTACAACAACCAGACATCTTTATTTATATTATATTAAAAATGGTTGTGACTGGTTTTGATTTTAGTGCAACAAGATCTTAGACATCTCCAAGTTTTATTTTTTGGTTTTAAGAATATAGGTACATAATTTTATTTTAACAATATTTACACTAACTACCTACCTACTACTTATTCGAATTGAAGTAGGATTTAAATACATTTTTTGTTAATTTTTAAAACATTGTAAAGTGGCTCCTGAACAATTATTGTATTAATAATATATTGGAGATGTATATTGTCGTTACTCTCATAATGTCTTAATTTAAACCCCTACCATACACAAGTHGATTCTTAAGATTCTTTTATCGCAAGTATTTAGGCAATATCACAACGATATACACTACAAAAGAATCACCTTGCAGCAATTCGAATAGACAATAGTTTACCCTGTGTGTARCCACCCGTTCGAATCAATCGTCTCCTTTGTCTTCTCTTCATCRTTAAAGTAACCGTTCATGTTCAGGTAACCGCGAATCAACAGTTCTCCGGGAGTTCCGAACGGTACCATATTGCCATTGGTATCGACCACTTTTGCCTAGAAATTAACAAC